CGCACACACACACACACACACACACACACCTAGTGTAGATCACCTTCCAGCAAGGAGGTGTGAGCTCCTGCTCACACCAAATGACCAATAGGATTACAATGCATGAATTGTTGTACCTTTGTTTAGGGCGGAGCAGCCCAAGAAAATAAAATGTATTGTAAGACCTTAATTCGAGGTCAGTGGATGGAACTCCTGCGGGAGCGCTGTCTCTCTGATCCCAGCACTGTAAGGCCTACCTGTGATCAAACATGCAGTAAACTTTCCGCTGATTTTAAACAGTCCTCTCCTGTCGTCACTTCTCGTGCTTCCAACAAAAGAATTGGGTTAATTTCTAACAAAGAGGTTAGATTCTAACGTGTAAAACTGCTACTCTGCGTCCTGGACTCGACTCTGGGTTGTCATAATTTAGGTTGTAAAATAAACTCTTCCAGATTTCTAGATATTAGAGCCGCACTACCCAAAGTGGGATGGATGCCATCTCTACTAATCAGACCAGGTTTTCCACAAAATGTTTTCCAGTTATCTATGAAGCCCACGTTGTTTTCTGAGAATCATCAGGATGGATTCTCTTTATTACAAATGGTAGCCATTGCCTTTCAGAGTTGGACTTAGTATTGTGCTGTGTTTATATGAACTAGCATCCTAATTATTATGTGTGCTCATAAGACACTTCATTGTGTTTGTCCCACTGTAGGGATGTACTTGGTTTCAAAGTACATCAGGGAGAAGACGGACAGTGTGGTGGTCTTCTCTGAAGACGGTTCTGATGAGCTGACTCAGGGATACATTTACTTTCACCAGGCAAGTCCTCCACTAACCAATAACGGTAACTGAATCCATCACAGTAATGTCTGAGTAATGTTTGTTTGTTTTGGGAGGCAAACCTTTTTCATAGATAACAACTCAAAATAGTGGATTCAAATAATTAGCAGGATTAAAAAGACATTCCTACACAGTTAGGTGGAATATGATCATGGTGTCACATCCTAACAGGAGTTTGTAGGCCAAGTCTCTGAGTTTGTCCCTTGTGTAAACAGCATGGAGTGGAGAAGCACCTTCTGAGGGAATCTTTCAAAGGCCTCGGCTTGATCCCAGATGAGATCCTGTGGAGGCGCAAAGAAGCATTCAGTGATGGTATGATGTCTGTGAAGAAGTCCTGGTACACGTGCCTGCAGGAGCATGTAGAAGCTATGGTATGTGTCAGGACCAAGACCCATAATACAACAGCTGATATCATGTAACATTTCCAGCACATTTACTGATTGAAAGAGGAAATATGTAGGGGTGAATCAGTCCGGTTCTTTACAAGTGTTGTATTCCGGTTCTTTGTACCATGCTAACTCTGAGAGACGAGGCAGTCCAAGTAGCTTCAAAACAGCGCTGATGTATTCCATGAACACAGGTAAAAATTAACATTACACGCTCAGGTATCTTGCACCTCCAACATGCACGCAGGCAGCTGAAGGATGAAAGACCCCGAACCCAACATTATATCGCTTTGGGCTAGCCCCATTCTACACAGGAACGCCAAACCGTGACGTCTCCCGGTGCCAGCTTTGCAGCTGACCAGAGCAGTAGTCAAAGCATGAAGAAAATCAATTATGTTTATGGTCACCCACCAGAAGAGAGCAGACTCAAAGCCTGCTGCCACTTGATCAACGAACTTATATTCATTTGGGACGCCACTGGGGAACACCAATTGCATCAATGTACGTGGGGGATAATCTAGCTGGATCAAATAGGGCATCCCGCTTTAACCGGTGTCCCTTAAAAGGATGACCAGAGCCTGACTCAATGTCAGAGACTGCTGCTTCAACTACAGTAACTGGAACTATAAGTGAAATCATAGTGCAGGTACCA